TGACATTTAAATATACAGTATATGTATTGATATATTGATATGATTGATATATTTGTTCTTTGTCTTTCCTAAAGTTCCCATCACTCTTCTCCTTTGGCTTGTTCACCAAATCTGGTCCAACCTTGAAGCAGGTGACATAAATACTGTACTAGTGCTCTTTGTATCATCCCGGGACCCTGAGATGAATTGAAAGCCTGTGAAATGGCTGCTAAACATCGGCCGCAGTAACCAAGTGAAAGGAAAGCCAGCAACATTAAGTTTGTGTTGTTAAAGGCCCTGAAAACCTATTTTCTTAATCATGTTCTCATATTGAGCGATGGGGTCCAACAGAATTAGCAACAGTTTTGGTTATTTGTGTTTCTGTCCCTGATTGGTCGGGGTAAATCCGGATTTAGAGCATCAAAGTGGGATGACAGAGAAATGTTTTTGAGAAAATCTAGTTTTTTTAGGTGCTTTAATGTCAAGTCAAATTAAATGTGAGTGGTCAACTATGAGCTACTAGGAGGGATACAAAAACACCCTAATATAAGAAGATATACCAGATGTCTCTTTCCTACACTGTGTTTAGCTGGTCCCTTTGTTGTGCAGTAGTTTCATGGATTTGTCCGCCCATTCGGTTCTTTCTCTTCCCTCAGATAGAAGACACGTATTTCAGCGTGACACTTTTTGGGGAGGGCTGCTCAGAGGGTTCAGATCCCACGCAGGGCCGACCCAACGCAAAGATCTGCACTCGGGTCATAGGAGCAGGTAAAGTACAGTACACATAGGCTTCTAGTTGTGTTTAATGGAAACATATATCATTATACAATTCATGATTATTTCATCAGGGGTTGTGAGTAACACCTGTGCTTCTCCTGCTGTGTAGTAGTACAAGTAGTGCTGTGAAAAAGGCCCATTCAGCTTTAGCAGTTAAAGGATCAGGCTGGTGTTCTGTATCAAAAGGCTCCGTGTCGTTTTTAGAGTTTCTTACACAAACAGGAGTAAATCGTGCATTTGTTGGGGACTACATCCTGCGGTGGATTCATCCACATTTGGTGCCCGAGGGAGTATTAAGAGCAGCAGGACGGTGTAAGCGGGGTTGATGGTACATCTAGCAATTCCCTTGTTCGATCTGGTAAGTGGTAAAAAGAATCAAACATGTTTTTTTCCAGAGCTGATGATGGAAGTAGCTCTGGAGTGAGCCGTCACGCTTCCTTCTCGTCTCTGTTGAGAGTTGCTCATGCTCAGTAGCGATCGGGCACTCGCGAGAAAAGACAAAGTTGATGAGCTGAAGCGCAAGCGAGCATTTCAATTATACTGTGAGAGGATGTTTACTTAAATCTAGATTAAACATTTCAATTCACTTTGGTCTTTGTTGTCATTTGAAAACCGCTAATAAACAAAAGAAATCGTAAAAAAAATAAAAATGAACGTTGACTATTTCTGGAGCTGTTTTTATCTTGTTTGTGTTTTTGTTCTGGTTTACAGAGCCTGGTTATGTCGCTACAGTCTCTGCTCTGGTACAAGCAGGCGTAACCTTGCTGAATGAGCTGCACTCTCTGCCCAGGAGGTCAGTTTAGTCCGTTTTCTCTTTATAAACGGGGAGATTTGGTGAAAACCTTCTGTCTCATCTCTATCTGCCTTCCTCCTCTCTTCGCATCATCCCTCATTTGCTCTCTGTTGTGATTGACAGAGGAGGGGTGTACACTCCAGCAGCTGCATCCCATAAAACCAGTCTCCTTGACCGCCTCCACAGCATTTGTTAAAAAAGGCCAAACGTTCATAAAGAAGGCCCTTACACTTCACAATTCACATGAGGCCATGTCTGTGCGAAAGTATAAAAAAGGTGAGCAGGATATGCTTAACCCTATTGGAAAAATGCAAGTTTGTGTACGGCTCAGATTCCTGGTGTCATAATGTGGTTAGTTAAGTTTTCATTAATGCTTTGTCTGTCTTTTGGTGTTTGGATTCCAAAGAAATGTCTAAGCTACATTGACTATAAGATTTCAGGTATACAGTTGCTGCGTATTTATCATTGGACAACGTGAGAGGTGTATGTACTGTTGTGTTGTAGTAAAACATATATATTTTAAATCTTTAAAGCCAAATATTAAGAGCAAGTGTTTGCTTTAAGTTTATGA